GTTTAAGACTGAAAACATTTTAGATGTTAAATGCAAAACTAGAACTTAAATATACACTTAGCTGTTCTTTTATGTAACCCTGCTTCAAACAGTAGCAGCGCGAGGAGGTCTAGCATCTCTGTACTGTCTGTCGGCGATCCAGGCTTAGAAATGGGGGTGAAGCAGCACGGGGCTCAAGCCACATCCACGCTGGGGCACTCTATGTGTAAGACAAATCAATCCTACTGGGGACATTTGTCCATGGGACATCCGTCCATCAGATAGTGGCACAAGAGAACACTACTAGGACCTTGAAAAATAGTCCATACCTTGGACACTTGTCCGTAAGACAATGTCCGTCCATAAGACCCTAAGAACACGAAACTCTTGTTTAAAATCAAACACCGTCTAATAAACAAAATGTACCTACCTCGAAATACTTCCGAGGGCTCAATAAATAATAAACAATCTGTCCTTTCTTCCAAATGACATTCTGGAGGACAAAAGCAAAGGGACGCCAACGTGCCAGCCAAATACAAATACAAGTTTGGACATCCGTAACTCTACCCTAAAAATATTCACTAATAATATCGAATCTAAAAGGAAAATAACTCAGCTTTACCTGTAGCTTCGAAATGGCAGCTGATTCAGATTATACAGCAAGATTTAAATAATCACCATTTCTAAACGCTGGGATAAAACAGAGCGTCAAAACAAAGTGAGGTTAAGCACGGAGAGTTGACAGAAGCGATGTTGACAGCGCGCGCCTTCACAAAATAGTAACAGGGTTGTGTCGAACGATCACAGGATTGGCGACCAGGGAACGTAAAAATTACGCGTCAAATAATCTATCCGGCCTGAACGAGAGGGAATCCGGTGATGATAGGCCAAACATCATATATTATATATAAAAAAGACATGTAACGAACTAAAAACGTTACAATACTAGCTATGTACCCATTTTAGTCGTAGAAGATACATTCTACAACAGTCAGCGACATCGGAAAACTGTCCAAATCACGAAATTTAATTATATAACGCTCCAGTTAATAGCTGGTCCTGATAATATGTATTTCCCCATCCCCACACTTCATTTGTTCTATTAATAAAAACAACTTTAAATCAGTTTGAGGAGATCAAACGTTTGAAAACTGAACGAGCAAGCGAGACAGAAAAAAAAACAGCCCTTCGCGGAAAACTTTTCTAATTTCCCCAAGTTGCCGGGGTATAATAAGTTTACATGCCACCTTTCCTCGCGAAAAATCGGCCATAACGAATCGAGAAACTCGGTTGCGTCGTACTCGGTCCTCCTTCTCGGTTAGAAGCCGGGCGTGCGGCAAAATTAAATGTTTTCCCGCCGATAATTTGCTAAAAGGCTCTATACTTTCCGACCGGAAGCCGGTAAAAAGTTTGATATAAATAGTCTCGTCGGCGTAATATTTGATGTTTATAGTTAGCAGCTTGTCTCGTTTATGAAATAGCCTGAAAGTTGTTTGGCAAACTTCTCTTTCTTCCCGGCAATGTTTAAGGGAAATATTTTTTGTTTGCTTAGGTAAAATACTGGTCCAATTTTTGTGTTCTGGTTTGGTGTTCGGAAGTTAAATTTATAGATTTGTTTGTCTATGTTTCTAGGGTTTAATGATAGATACACGTTTGTTTTTAATTTATTAATTTTCCTTTATAGATTTTTCCAGTTTTTGTATTTGTGATCTACATTGTTATTACTAAAAAACAGTGTATGCATATGCACCATGTGCGCATATTTGTGATAAACTTCTTACTAACAGCTATCAAATTGAAGGATTTGAAGGACCTGTTTGAAAAAGTGACATACCCAAGTAGCATAGGAAGGAGAAAAAAACATTGACCACGGGAAATTAAGCACTATTTGGTTGAATTTTTCCTATATCTAACTTAATAAATTTCTTGTAGGGAAGAAAGTGCGAGAAATCTAAAAATGAGGTCATAAACTAGTTAATAATAACCTAAAATTATGCCTGTGAAAAGTAGCAACGTTGGAGTTAGCTGGCATTGTTAAAATCTAGTTACTGATAACCTATTGGGGGCATTAAGACTACAGGGACTTAAAGTAGGTCAAATGTTACTTTATTATAACCTCAAATTTGTCTCGGGGGTCGAAGGCATTGTTTGGTTTTCAAGTTAGGTTAAAATTTAGTTGTTAATAACTTTAAATGGGATCTTATTTGGAGGAGTTTAAATTTGGTTGAAAATTTAATTTATTTCGACCTCATAAGTCGCTATTATGCTTCAAAGGTAAAAGTAACTTAGTTTTTTGACTTGGAAGAAAGTCAGACATACGGCAGGTTAAAAGTTACCATTTTTAATTTCCTCGGGGTGATTTCCGTTTAAATTAGTGTTCGGGGGATTATTACGTCATAGCACATTACCTTGTTCTCACTGGTGGGAAACGACAGAATATTCAATGCGTTTCTTTTTTATTACCCACACAATCTTAAACATGTCCATTATGTGCAATAAAAACAAAAAGTCCTCTTTAATAACACTCGCAATCGCAAAACACAAAACTTTTAAAAATAATAAGCAAAGAAAACTAATTTGGTTTTCTAGTTAGTTAGTGTTCTAGTTTAGGCCAGTTCGGTAATTGCATCAGCTAGCAAAAGGATAAAAATTTGACATATCACGTGACTCTCAATAAATATTCTCATTTTAAGACACATGATTAGTGAAAAGTTAATCGGATTAATCGAAGATGTAACTTAGAATAAACTTGGCATAAAATATCATTGTCAACTGTCACTCAAAGAATATAAAAGTTTTCTGTTTTACCGGCGATACTCCAAAAGTGAGGCCTTCGGGAAATGAGCTTCGACCCAATATAGCCCCTTTTTTAACTTGCACCACTTGTTGGTAATATATAGTATTTTTAGTAACAGTTAATTAATAGCCTATAATATTTTTACTGTATTATAATTTATTTGTTAAATAAAAAAATAGACGCTATGTGCTCTATTGTTGGTTTTTAAAATGTATGTATTCATAATTTTAATTTTGTTTTGACTATGTTACACTTCTAATGATCTAATAAAACATAAAATGGTAGTTAAAAAAAGTCCATATTTATTATTTTATATTTAACAAGGAATAATTTTTTTGCTTGAATAAAGTTACCGTTTTAGTTAGCGTTAATAAATAAGTAACAAAACGCTAAAATTATGTTATGCCAAAACTCTCCATTAGTTTCTTCCGGGCCACCAGGTGGCTCTAAAAGACGGACCAATTTGTTTTATATCAGTGTCCAATCTATCTCTAGTATTGCTCTAGCACATGACATTGGAGACTAATCAATTTGAAAGTTTTTCTTGTTGCCATTTGTTTTGTTGCCTCTATATTTTTGTATTTATATTCAGATTCAGCTATTTTTGAGTATGTAATACCCAAAAACATGTCATTTGATGTATGCATATTTTATTTTGGTTAACTATTATGTTGTAGGTCCTATATATACAGGGTGAGTCTTAAATAAGTGCAAATATTTTTAGGGCTGGTAGATATCGATAAAAGAAACACATTTTCTCTTTACCATTTTTCAAATAAGTCCAAAATAACCGAGTTATATAAGTTTGTTGTTTTTTTTGGAAAATTTTTTAGAGCCACCGGATTTTTTCTGTATTTGCATCCCTTTTAGTGCCATAACCAAAGAGTAAAACTGTAACTATGGTAATATCAGTGATTAAGAAATTGCCCGTGGGAAAATTTGCGGTGAACAGGCAGTTCTAAAAAGTTTTCGAAAAATATACAGAAAAATTTAAAAGAAAACGCACGATTTTCAACATCTTTTTTTGCGAAATAAGCCTAGAATAAGATTGTTCTATAGACCATTTCGATGAAACTGAGAAAACAAGGTTTAAAGTTTAAACTGGATATCCGTGAACACTATATACCAAAACGGTTCTATTAAACATATAAATTAAAGGTAATATAAAAACCTATCAAATATATGTATTAATTTTACTTTTAGAAGCTTTATTTAAAAGATATTAGTGATTTTAGATTTGGATATTTAGTAAGTATAGTAACAAATGTTCTATATCCAATTAGCTGTGCATTGACCCGATTTTAGGGATATAAAACAAAATAAGGGGATATGGAATAATATAATACTCATTTTAAGCTGATTTATTTGTATTTCAAAATATTATTTCAACACAAATTAACTGAAGTGGAGACATTAAGACATTAACTAAAAACAACATAAAAAAATAAAAACCTAAAATACAATAATTCGTCTGCATTGTTTATTAAGAACTATAATTTTTTTCTGCCTATTTGTTTTGTATTTATAGTATTAGAATAACTTAATCAGATTTTAAATCTAATTTTTAACTTTCATTGGATTATTTAAATGTTTTTTAGCTATCTCTAGTATTGATAGTATTAGAGAACGATTGAGTTGAAGGAGCTGGTTTCACAAAATTCCAAAGTGTGAAACATTCAAATTTGCCAACAAATCAGGCAATCAGTGCTTTTCAAACGAACGATTGAGCAGTCAATTGAGTTGAAGCAGCTTCGCGAAATTCCAAAGTGTGAAACATTCGAATTTGCTAACAAATCAGGCAATCAGTGCTTTTCAAACGAACGATTGAAGAGCAGTCAATTGAGTTGAAGCAGCTGGTTTCACGAAATTCCAAAGTGTGAAACATTCGAATTTGCCAACAAATCAGGCAATAATGTGCTTTTGCAAAACAAAATATTAGATTTTTTTCTTTATTTGTGAATTTGGCTATATTGTTTTTATGGGTATAGAACAAGCTAATTCTGCATAAAAAATGATGTATGTAACTGATTTTACTCCAAAACTGGATATAGAACAATCTAATTCTAGGGTGACGATATACCACCCCTAAAAATATTTGCATTTACCTATTTAAGACCCTGTATATAATAAATATTAAATGAAAAAAAAACAATAAAATTAAATAATTATGCTTTATAATACATTGTATAAAGTATAGTAATAAGAAACACATAATACTTACTACCTGAGATGATCATATCCCCTCGATCGGTCGTCCAGTAATTGATAGAAGTAGGAAACGCCTCGGTATGACACTCCAAAGCCACATCTTGACCGATGTAAGCACCCTCCAGTTGATTGGGTATAGACAACATCGGGGGAACTAAACAAACAGAAAGGGAAACATTTAGATGCGAATTAGCTCTATCAATATGTTTCAAAAATAACTGAACTATACACACCGGAAAAGTCTAGGGATATTACAATTTTATCCAGCCATCGTCAGTGATTTTATTATTTGCATTTCTGATATAATAAAATTAAAATAAACAAATAGTTTACAGGACGTATTGGAAATAAAAATGCGAAATTTACCAAATTTTTCAAATTTACCTTGATTTTTATTGAACTCAAAAAAATACACACATTTTTTTTCTAAACTGTGAATTAAAAAAAAAGATAAAACCATTTTTACTTAATAAAGGGTATGGCCTCCTCTACTGTTCATTACATCCCTACATCGTCTCTCCATGCTCCTGATCAGGTTGTCGATCTCTTTTTGAGGTACAGCCTGCCACGCTGCATTCACGGCCCGAACCAGATCCCTACGAGTTTCACGAGGCATACCCATTCTCAAAATTCTTCTTTGGACCGCGTCCCATGCGTGCTCGATGGGGTTGAGGTCAGGAGATTGTGCCGGCCAGGGTAAGATGTTTAATTGATGTGCATTGATAAACTCACTTACCACTCTGGCTGTATGAGGCCGTGCATTGTCATGCATGAGAATGAAGTTTCTCCCAAAATCATTGGCATATGGTAACACGACAGGCTCAAGAATTAAATCACGATATGTGATTCCTGTTAGAAACCTTTAAAGAAAAACGAGATCAGTTTTTCGGCCTAACTGGACTCCTCCCCAGACTATAACTGCTCCACCTTAATAAGGGTGCACTTCCTGAACATGATCCAACCGAACCTGTCGGCGTCGAGCATTTAATTGTAAAAAAATGATCTTGCTCAGGGGTAGTAATGCGATGTCGCCTTGTGTGCCTTTCAGCAACATCACCACTTTCACAGTAGCGTGCAGTTAATCGGGATATTACACTTTGCGTTGTATTTAATGCTCTAGCTACGTCGATTTGGTGAATTCCAGCTTCAAACATACCCATAGCCCTTAGCATTTCGTCTCTGTTAAGATGTCTACGCTCCATAATGTCGCTTAATACTAAACAGAGTTATTTGAATGAATTCTGGCCAATTATCATAAAAACATAGCCAGTACAGGTTAAATTCGAACAATTGATGCTAGGTGCTTTTTATACATTTGACAAAAAATGCACAAACACTTTTGCAAATATCCCAAATTTAGAAATAACTAGTGTGACTACTTCGTTTCAATCGAAGTAGAAAGAATCGGCCTACAAATATGTGGTTGTTTATTCAAAACATATATTTTTAACTTTAATAAAATGATATCCCTAGATTTTTCCGGTGTGTGTATTTTACTTTTACACTTGCTTTTTAAATATAGTTATAGCCACTTCAAGTAATTTTGAATCTAAAAAAAAAGAATAAAATGACTTATATTTAAGAAAAACTTATATTACTATCAAGTGAATAAAAATCATTTAGCAAAGAAGAAACTATTATTAAATTATACTTTTATATAACAAGTATTCTTAACTTTTTAAAAACTTTTACTTGAAATCGGTGTATACTTTAAATAAGCATATTATTCACGGCGCGAGAATATTACCCCATTTCCAAAAGTTACTATTCTTATATTAAGTGACCGTCCCCAACAGCAACAACGCAACGTGCATTCCTGATTCCTACCTTCATTTCATTGGATTTCTGTTTCTCTCAAGCGACACGGGACACGACTAGTCGGGTAGGTTTATAAAGTTTTTTTGTTATTGTTTGTGCTTGTGATATGTGAAAATGGAGGACTCTATTCAGGCATAGGAGATGACGGATTTGATCCCAACATTTCAAGGTAAGTTTAGTAATAATTCTACATTATTTGATTACATCGGTTGGAGGTTAGGGGGACATTTTAATATGCATTATTTCTCATACACCGGTGGTAAACTAGGTATGTACGCGTTTGGAATGATTCAATTATGTTTTAACAGTTTTTATTATCGTTTCTCGTTTTTAATTAGATGCCGCTGTTCAATATCTACCTATATTGGGAAATTACACAGTTTTATTGTATTTTATTATTACGAAAAGCATATAATTTGGTAGGTGATGTTTGGCTAATCTAATTTAAAAAGTATTAACCATATTCGTGGTTATTCTGGTGATATTTCAATATTCCATACCTATTGTAAATGGAAATTAAAATTTTTAGCATGTACCAACTCTATTATATTCATGTATGTTACCGGACAAACCCGATTTTAGGATAAACTAATTTTTTCTAGGCCAAATCAGGGTATCCAAAGAGACGCGGGGTAGAAAAACTATTATGCCGCGCTTAAAGTCTTTAGATAAGGAAAAGATTTTACCAAAACAGAGTTTCTAACATGATCGAACCCGAACCACCGAAAGCATAGGGAACACGTTACCGAATTTTATGAAAACTATATAGTTTTTCGAACCCGCTTAATATTCGGCCTAGGAAAAACTAGTTTATTCTTAAATCGGGTTTGTTCGGTTCCGAAATAGAGCATATTAAAATGAAGTCCCCCTAACCTCAAACCAATGCCATCAAATAATGTAGGATTATTGCTAAACTTACCTTGAAATTTTGGGATCAAATCGGTCATCTCCCATGCCCGAAGAAGGTCCTCCATTTTCACATATCACAAGCACAAACGATAAAAAAAAAACTTTATAAACCAATCATTTTTTAACGATAGTAACTAACGTAAGAGTAAGAAGAGCCTTTATTTCAGAATAAAGTAATTATTACATGTACACAAAGAATACTTAATGCAATAATTTGCTAATTTACAAATAAGTATAAGTAGTACTCGAAACAAGATTTTATCTAGACTTGTCTGGAGTGGAGTTATAATCTTAATTTCAATACTAGGTAAATCTTAAATAAAAGATAAATTTTCTTAGCTTCTAAGGATAAGATTTTCTTGAAAAGAAGTATAACTAGATTTGCGGAATGGGGAAACTAGCATAATATCGTTGGTTCAAGATTAATAATCTTTAAGCCAGTTTAGCTTTTTTTCCGTGATACCCCACTAATCCATCAATTCTTCCGGCAACGTAACACATCTCAATCAGATATCTTGACGGGTATATACGTACGAACATTCGATTAAACGCCGTAACAATTCTGTAACCATTCTAAGGAGAAAAAAGAGGAAAACAGGGGGCGATTCAACAGCAGAGAAGGATAATATTACTGTTAGGAAAGAGCGGAAACGCTAAAGAAAGAAATCCTGCCTCGATTTTATGTCGGCTCTGTGGCTGGTGGTCGGGAGTTTTATCTAAAATTACTTTTGCGATTTGGAGTTTGATATACGGAACCCCTAATTTATTACGGGAAAATCACCGGGATTGTTGTTGATAGTTTTTCTTTGAAGAGACTTTGTTTGCCTTTATATCTGGAAAAGGAATATTCTTTGTGATTTTTCTTCTGTGGAAAGAGAAAATAGTTTTGAGTCGTATATAATATACAAGGTGGTCCGAACTGTATTCTGGAAAATTCGGCAGCATATTCTACACATAAAAATAAGTAAAAAAGTCCGTATAAATAAATATCTTAAAATGCTTAGTTTCGGAGATACAGGGTGTATCCAGGTACATATTTTTTCGCAGAAAAAATTATGATTAATTAAAAAAAAAAAGATTTTCCAAATTTATTATTTCAGTCAAATCTATCTACTCAACGTGTTTATTTTTTTGTCAATAATGACATGTATTGACTCTTTCTATTCTAAATATCTTTAGAACGAACGGTTGCTGGTAGCGATTTTTACCAAGAAATATTTTTTACGTAATTACGTATTTTTCATTAAGTAGTTTTATACAGGGTGGCGCCTCTCATACGCCGCGGAGGCTCCAAGGAGAACGACGGTTTGTATTGAAATGAAATTTTGTGAGGATATGTAGCTTAATTCAGAGCACTTTCTAAAAATGTAGAGACTTCTACAGGGTGTCCCCAAAAAAGTTACATATCAAAGTTGTGTTTTTTGTAATGGAACACCCTATATATTAATGGATTTTTGGATTCAAAGAAAAAAATAAAGGTGAGTTTTATAAGAGAAGTATATGACTAAAATGTAAGGTTTTTGACTTACTTAACATTTTCTAGAAATAAAGAACAATTTTTAAATTACGATAAAAGCTACCTAAATTGAAATTTACCCCGTATATTCTAATATGTCCTTAAAGTAACTCTTGTACTTTAAATCAAATTAAAACTTGATCCAAAATGTTATACAGGGTGTGACAAAATTAATATTGAACATTGGTCGCCTTTAAAAGGGTGTTACTTTTTTATTTTAAATGGAACACCCAGTATATTATACCAATATTCAATGGAAAATTCATGTCTCTTCTAAATACTATTAAGGTTGCCTACCCCTACCCCGATTTGATGTGAGTAGATCTTTATTATTTGATAAAATCTGGCTGGTGATTATGTCTGACATTACTAGCTAATTTTTATCGCATAATTATAGGTTTATATCTAGTTTTAATTCTGTAATAATTAAAATATGTTTTAAACGGACATCTTTTTATTACCCTTGAGTATTTTACTCAAGAATCTTTAATTTTTGTTAAATTAACAAAAGGTATATCACACAGCCACCTAGGTATTTTCAAATAATAAAGATTTACTGACGCAAAATCATAAAAATAAAAATATCTGGGAAAATCTTTGTCTGAGGAGTAGGCTACCTTAATAATATTTTGAAGATATATAAATTCCCCATTGAATACCGGAAAAATATACTGGGTGTTCTATTTAAAATAAAGGAGTAACTTGCTTTTAAAAGTGACTAATGTTCCATATTAGTTTTGTCACTTTGTATAACTTTTCGGGTCAAATTTCGATTTGGTTTAACATACAATGGTTACTGTAATTAAATCTCAATCTATACAAAGCCAACTAAAATTTAGGTAGCTATTATCGAAATTTAAAATTTACTCTTCGTTTTCACAAAATGTAAAATATATCAAAAACCTTAGATT